GTTCAAATATGAGAAATCTTGTAAGGTATATTGTATGTGGAAGAAGTAACAATAATCTACCACAAATATATCGGACCTCGTTAACATTAATGGATAATCCCATCAATGCAGAGACTACTGATGAGAGAAATCGGTGTCCCTCCACATCACCAACTTCTAATATAAGATTGAGCATTCTAAAGACACCACAAATTTTATCATGGCTGAGCACTGTACTTTTCATAGTGTCGGTGTCAATCACACAATCGGTTCTCGATCGGATGGACACATTGAATCGAGAAATTTCCAGGAATGTTCCAGAAATGTCCGAGAAATGTTGGAGGTGCGAGACGGATGAAAAAGTTGAGTTTCCATGATTTCACATTGAAAGTTGAAGATTCGGCAACGACAATCTGCCCTAGACGTCAATTCACAGTGGAGAGTTTGCCAGAGGTTGGCTGAACGCCAAGTCTAGGCCAATTCAATCTCCCTGTCCAACACGCTGGTTTTACAACTTTTTTCTCTCTACGTCTTCTTCCCATGACTCCCATCTTTTGAGTCTTTGAGAATTCACGCCGCGGAGTGGTGAACTTCTGACAGTTCTCACCCCTTTAACGTCGTAGGGTGGATATAATGAGAGGTATGCCGTTTTCTATTTATTTTTATTCTCAAAAATTTCAGTTCACCAAGCAATCCTTGACTATTAATGACTTGTTCTCACTATCGAAATTCCCTATACTCACAACCCATCCTCATCGCTTTATCCAGGTTTTAATGAGGCCCTTTGATAAAAGGAGGAGATTCACCAACGACACCTGTAGAAAAATTCGGTAACAGCCGGAGGGTGCAGTACTCGAGGAAGAGGCATTCCACCCTATTTCAATAAAAAAAATTTTTTTTTTCTCGATTTTGCTATAAATTGAATATGTTGTAAAAGAGGTCCACAAATATATGTAACCGGGAGGAAATTTTTTTTTTCCAAAAGTTATACAACATACAAATTTGGGGGTGCGTCGGGACGTGCCATTGTTCATAGCATTATAACTCGATAAATATTGGTTGTGTCAAAAAAATGGTCGAGTACTTTTTTATTGCCAAAGAGTGATACATTCATGTTACAATTTCAATTTTATAACAAAGTCCAATTTACTATACTTTTACAAATAAACAAATACAGAAATTGTTGAGGAAACCTATTTGCAGGTTTTTAAAATTTTGAAAAAAAAATGTATTGTAGAGTATCTATTTGAGAATTGATGGTCACATTTTAAAAGGGTGTTTCGAGATAGGGCCTGAGATATTAATTATTTAATGATGCGCCGATGGGTGAAGTGTAGTGGTCAGATCACTGCGCCAAGCGAGTCGTGCTGACAAGTCTGCGACGTTCAACCAATGTTTTCGGTATGTAGAAAGTTGATACAATTATTTATGTGTGAATTTATTCTCCTGGTAAATTCAATTTTGAACAATACAAAAAAGGCAATATATTAATTTTGAAAATTACACAGAATTTAGAAATTACTCAACAAAGTGACATGCAATTGGAATTTAGTTCTCAATGTATTTATATAACGAGTATGAATATAGTTAAAGAGCATGCATTTTCAGATTATTTTACAATGTTTCGAATTTCGAAATGTCGAAATATTCGATTGTCAATTTCGAATTCGTCGTCAAGTGAATGAATTTTACATTTTATACTATGAGTATTACAAATTGGTATAAAACAATGAAATTTACGAGTACCAACAATGGGTGCATTATTTTCAAATCGAATTTTCAAAGCTTGCTGTTCCAGTGCATGCTCTTCATTCGTACAAAAAATAGTTTGGATGGAATGGATTGATTCTTTGGCAAAGTCATACAACTCTAGCGGAGTAGTGATTTGATTGTCATACGGCCTTCGTATACTTACTCGTGCTGCTGTTCACATGGTGATTTACCGTGAGACGTTGCAAAAAAATGCTATTCAGCCTCCACACCAAAGTCCGCCTGATGATAAACTATGTTTATGAAATTTTTTTTATTCTCATATTGCGAGCTGGCACCATCAGAGAAGTAAAAAATTTTTTGAACGGAATGTTTTTCTTTCAAAATATTAATAATTTTTCGGAGAAATAAATGAACAGCTACGGTATCGTGATTTGAGGATTCGGAAATTATAACAAAACTATAAAGTTTTAATTCAGTGTTGTCCTAATAATATGCAACGACTGGATGAATAGTATCTTAATCTTTGCCCAATGATAAACCTGCACAGCATGCTGGATAAGAAATCGGTAATTTTCTGCAAAATCGCTACGAATGATGAACTCACCGGGTTTCAAGTCTGTTTTGCATTGAGTTAAAAAAGCATGTTTTGCAATAAAGTTGTGAATTTTGAGAACTTGTAAATCGTCACACAAGTTCGTTATAAAAGAGTCAGTATCCTCAACGCGTCGAATTAATTCAGAGCGATCCGTCGCAGTCCAAGTCATGTACGTCACTGAGTCAATCGAATTTACGTCACATATTTCTTCTAAATGATTTTTTATGCATAAGTAACCCGGAAAATCCGTACATTCACCAAGGTGGCACGACGAAGTTGGATTCTCACACCCCATTGCACTTAATACATCTGCGTAATTTTTAAGAAATGAACAGTCACTAAATGAGTCTGGTAATTGGAAGGCTTTAATCCCTTGTAATTTCAACTTGACATTTTTATGAATTTTGCAAACGCAGACCGAATATGTCCCATTTTCACCAGCAAAAATGCATTTTCGAGGACGGAATTCAGCAAATTTTGAAAATCCGATTTTCATATCTGTAAATTTCTCTTTAAATTGCGCGTAAGTTCTTTTAAATTGCATAAAATTAACCGTTTTTGAACATTTTCCCGAACACCACCTATTTTTACCGAAACACAATCTATTTTACCGGGCATGATGCGACTAATTTCATCTGTTCTGAAAAACTCATTCACTAATTCTTCAGTTGTCATGCTTACCGATAATCTGCGAGTTCGTTTGGGGACCGAAGCTCCTATACCTTTCTGTTGGTGGATCCAGTAAGCTCTACGTGCTGTGTAGTAAGGAACGTCAAAAGTTTTCTGAATTTTCGAAATGGACCAGGATTTAGGGAACATTGTCAGCAATGTGATTTTATCCGATAGTCTGTTTCAGCTTCTGTTTGATTTCCTCGATAGTGCAATTCATATCAGAGCAATCGTCCGGATCACTCAAACTCTTATCAATTGCTTCCTTCATATCCTCGATCGGTTTCCGCTTTTCACACGCACTTCGTTTGCTCCAATCACTCGGGATGATTACCTAACTTAATGATGGTAGAGCTTTACTCAATGCCGCTATCACGACTTCTTGCCTTTCCCCATCAGCAAGTTCAAACTCCTCATCAGAATGTTCTGGTGTTTGACACTTCTTCACTTACACACACTACACAACTATTTTCTCCATAATTATTATTGTCACTTTTTCCAGAGACACTTTGCATCTTCTTCTGCTTCAAACCAGTATGGCACAATTTGCAAATGAACTCGCCACTGCCAATTTCTTCAACGAATAATTCCCGAAATTCGTCACCAACTTTAACGAGTGCCTTACAAACACGCGCATGATTTTTTTTCCCGAGCGGATTGCAACAATGCTTCATAATAGGCATTTTGTGAGGATGTTTTCGAAGAGAAATCTATTAGAAGTACTTGCCTCGGTGTCACGTTGACAAATGATATTTAAAATTGGAAGAGTGCGTATTTATGCACGTACTGGGAAGACGGCCATTGGCTGAGTCAATTATGAGACTGTTATTAATTTTGTTATGGACAATGGTTCCTGTTGCTATGGTATATCAGGTATGAAGCCCTGCTCCTCCCTTAAAGGTCGCGTCGCCACCTCAGCAGGAGGCCTCAGGTACTCCACCCCCTTGCACGCTAAAAGTATTAATGTTATGTTTAGAGTGATTAATTCCAGGTACGGATGAATGAGTAAGGATATCATAAATGATGTTTAACTATGCCAAACCGGTTCATTTATACTTTTATATGAGTAGTACCACGAATTGGATATAATTATCTTATAAACTGAAAATTTACCTTGGGACTTTCCCGGACCATAAAAATTTGGATTACCCCATCTTCCAGGAATTTGAAATACATTAATAATAATTCTCCCGCAAGTTCTTTCATCCCTTCAATTCCCAAAAGATAATGTTATGGAGGATAATAAAATGCTGACTAATCCCCAAGTATGATTCCATGAGAGCTGTCCTGTCGGCCTACTCAACGCAGTTGGTGAGTTCGGATGGACGCGGTCTCACATTATTAATAAAATCTCAGGCCCTATATCGATACACCCTTTTAAAATTTGACCCTCAATTCTTAGATAGATACTCTACAACATATTTTTTTTCAAAATTTTAAAAACCTGCACACAGGGTTTCTCAACAATTTCTTTATTTGTTTATTTAAAAAAGTATAATAAATTGCACTTTGTTATAAAAATGAAATTATAACATAAATGTATCACTCTTTGGCAATAAAAAAGTGCTTTATCATTTTTTGGATACAACCAATATTTATCAAATTATAATGCTATAAACAATGGCCCGTCCCGACACACCCCCAAATTTGAATGTTGTATAACTTTTGAAAAAAAAAAAAATGTTCTTCGCGGTTGCGTACATTTGTGGACCTCTTCTACAACATATCAAAAAATTAACGAAAAGTAGTTTTTGGCCTATTGAAATAGTGTGGAATGCCGCGGAAACGCAATGGATATATTCTTTAGTCCCCCGAGTGGAAATCGCAGCGATGTGTGAATGATGGACATCCTCACATAGTCTCGAGGATTTTCCGAGCGCTTTCAGACACGAAATTTTCAACTACTACAGACCACTTTACCTTCAGTCATTGACATGCATGAAGGAGGGCTATACTCCTCAATTGACCGTTTTCCAACCAAACCTTGTGAGGTTATCGCTGTCGTTAGGTTACCTAACAACTTCTCGGAAACTGTTTCACTCACCTTGTAACTTCCTAAGTCCTTGACACTGCACGCCAACTTTATGTTACGTCCTGCTGGTACGGTCTTGTTGCCAATTTCATCGACGAATTCAGGTTCTGGTACTGTGGTCACTGTAACAGAAATTAATCCAATGATCAATGACGTAAGTGATCAAATTTATTCATCAGACCTCGGTCTCGTCATCGAATTGAAGAGTCAACTATCTCATTGATATTCAATTTGTTTGACAGGATAATAAAATATATCATAAAAAAATATGCTAGGAACACGAATTTTTATGATTAACTCGATTGCTGAGAAGGTTAAAGATAACGGAAGTAGAACATGATTCTCAATTATCACTAATGCAGTTGATGAAAATTGATACTAAGTTTGAATAAGTGGAACTGTGATTGCAAAATAGCTTGAAAGGAAAAAAAATATTATTAATACTCGAAATAATTGATAGGATTGATGGCATGAAAGGCATTAATGATGGTTGATGATAATCGATGTGTTCAATAGTATTCTCTGCTATTTCCATCAAATGAACCTGCGTACTACTTTATTAAGTACTGAAATTTTATTGAATACATAAAAAAATTTGATGGAAAGCACTTCATGTCAACCGTTAAATTTCCGTTTTTAAAACATCGAATAATCCGACTCTCGTGATCAACTAAGTGTCATTGCCAAAATCCATCAATTCCCAATTACGCCTGCCTTAGTGACAAGCATTTTCTGATTGAAAATTCATGTCCAGAGTCTGGCTATTTGTACTCTTTTCCTGTTTACGAATTTCCGCGGGTTTTTGCAACGGATTGGCTGGGTAATATTGAACGGTACAGTAAAAAAATCAGGGGAGGGTGTAAAAATGAGAATCGGCTGAACGAGGCGTAGGATATTAATCACAAATATTGCACAGGTGTTATGCATCGATCGAGGTGACATTTCTGGAGCGGGTGCATAACGCAATCTAACTTATGGGGACACGACAGGTAACGTGACAGTTCAGTTATTGAATACGAGATGTAATCTTTTCGTGTTATTGATTTTGCTCTTTTAAAATGCATCTCGAAATTACTTAAATATACAAAAATGGCTTGGAGTCACGCAAACTGGAAAGGAAACATCTCAAAATGATTGTTTTTCCTGCTCAACTCGCACACTTATTGTTTGTACGTAATGGGAAGGTAAAGTGAGATGACGGGTGTTATTCCAGTGGAATATGAGATGCATCTGGTGTAAGGACATTGTCGTGTCAGGAAAAGTAATTTTATGAAAAATTGGGTTCTTCAGAAGTTGAATGGCGGTGTGAATGGAAAGGTAACTCTTACACTAAATCGAAATTACTCGACGGAAGGGGAGTACTGGAAAATTCCCTTTAAGTGTGAAAGTCGTGGAATTACGCTAATACGGTAGAGGCTTGCCTTTGGGGAAAGTGAAAGAGCCAATTACTTGAATTCAATTCAAATTATTATCTCTTAATGAGTTTTGGCAAAATTTTATTCCAACGTATAATTTTTTCAATTCTTTTTGCATGGTTGTAAAAGTAAAAATATTAACACTCCCCTTAACTACACGAAATATTGAAAATATATTTCATAAAAATGACCAAGACTGGTAAAAAAAAAACTGAGCCAAGTAAAAGTTTCGCTCAATTGATTCCGTAGGAAACTCGTGTTTTGCCAAAATATGGCGTTCCTAGAAATTAAAAAAAACTCGGGAAATATAAATGAAAACTAAATAGAACCACGCCAAGTAAGTTGGTCCTGGCTCTACTGATTTTTTTATTTTCATTATTGAATCCTTTTCATCGAGTCGTATCACTTTTCTTGGCGTCTTCATTTACATTTTCCGAGTTTTTTTTTTATTTCTAGGAACACCATATTTTGGCAAAACCCGCGTTTTTTACGGAATTAATTGAGCGAAGCTTTTACTTGGTCCAGTTTATTTATAAAAACGCCAGTTTTTGTAATTTGGGGAGATTTCATGGATTTTTTCAATATAAGTACAAAATGATTTTTACATGTTCCAAATTTTTGTCACCCACATCACGTTTTCAGCTCATTTGAAGTATATTATTTGCATGATTTTTTTACATAATACACAATGTATTTCAACAATTTGAAAACTCCTTTCAACATTTATGTACGTATTAGAGCGAATCAATTTTTCTTTATGTCGAAATCTCGAAATTCATACTTCCATTAACCTCCACAATTGACTTCAGTCATATGTGTAATTACACACATAAATAATTCAAGAACTGCATATAATTTTCCAACAAAATGCAAAGCTAATATTTGTTACCATAAAATAAACAATTATAATTATGGAACTAAATAAAAAACATGAAATCCGAAGAAATAAAACACTCTGCTCTATTTCCCTGTTTCAATTCGATGGTTTGAATACACTGATGGCAACATCTCAACGCCAAATTTGGCCCAGGTTAGGTTAGATCGAATTGCTGCCAACTTAGTAACTTCAATGTAACCGAAAGATAATAGAAATCGGAAAGATATTGAAATCAGCCCGTTGCCATGGGCGTATTTTTGCCAATATTAATAGAAAAGAGGGAAAACTTATATCAATGAAAAGTTTGAGGGCGATTTATATAATGTAACTGTGTACAAATTTCATGTAACTTGTGGCGTTTGTATTTTATGAATTGAATACGATTAGGAGGTAGTGGAAGGGGTAGTTGTGTCGTGTATAGATATACCGAAAGCTCTCGGCCTTATTTGTTGGATAGAGACGAAACTTTTACTTGGCCGATGCGCTACCGTGTATCTCGATATATTTTTCAGAACCCAGAATGGATTTTCAAAGTCTTGGTGCATGTACATGGAAATGTTAATGCTTCTTTATCATGGCGAATTATCGGTGGGAATTTTGTTTGAAAAAACGGAAAACTGTTAGGTATCATGACAGGAGGTGGTGCCTCAAGCGCACGGGCATTGCCCGGAGAGGTGCGATAATATACTGAGGAAGAAGACAAATATATGTGTATAATGAATGACCACTGATGGGTCAATAATTTCCGGTTCGTGTGTTCCCGGTATTGCATTCAGTACTGTTTTGCCACATAAATCTGAGAACGCTCGCAATTATGCCACGTTTTTCCATGTGGCCACGGCTTCGCCGATACAACATAATAATTATACTTACTTTGGCAGATACAAATCACAAAATATCGCACGATTTTTTACGAATTCTGTAAATTTTAGATCACCCATTTCCCTAAATATTTCTATGAAATCCCCATTTAAAAACAAAAAAATTCTCGTACACTATACTACACCATTGAAACCTCTCTAAAGGTTTGTCAACAGAACTCAGATACTGCCAGAGCATACACATTTTCTATATTCCAGCTAAGCCCGAAATATTCCAATAGTGTGTTAGAAATCAATAATTGATTTTCCGCAAGATAATATCATTGGTGAAAAGCTGTTAAACCCCACTAGTCGAGAGTTCTATTAGGATTTCACTCGTTTCCACAGGCGAAAAGAGGAAAGCTTCTTTTCCAAGTTAGTGCGGGAACATTAAATGAATTTTCCCAATGAAACGTGCCTTGACAGCGAGGATAGCGAAGTAGAGAAGGCTGTATCTAGGATGAGCTGTATCTAACGAAATCGTGAGGTGCCGTAGCAAACTGGTGGTAGAAGGAGAGAGGTAAACGAGCAAAGAGTAGAGAACGAGTGACGAAAGAGGGATCTTTGACCAAAGGGACTCCCGAGATCAAATCCAAAAAACAAAAAAAAATGAATAAACGAGACGAAGGACGAGGGTGTTGAGCTTTTTTGTCGGGGTGCCGGCATGGAAAATTGCTGACTATTTAGCTTAACCACTCGCCTCTGAGATTTATTATTTATGTCGCAGCAATGTTTCTCCACTCGACCTGTGCTATCGTCCATTTGCTCTTGAGAATTTTCCTCTTTGGTGCGTTACAATTTTTATGAACCACATTGTTCTATTTTTTATCGCACTCTGTATATACTTTCACACTGGAATTCATAGTTTATGGTAGAGGATAAATCTGACTTGAGGAAATGAGAGAAAACGTGAAAAGAAATAAAAGGGAAATGTGCTGAACCAGAGAAGTTTCATGCTTCGCTCATGGAATATCTCGCGCTATCGCGAAATGGACCAGCGCTGTACAAGAAAAACAAATTCTTTTGATGCTAGAAAATAAATATTCAACACTACAAAAAGAGATTTCTATTTCTACAAAATTTTCATCTTAACTCGAAAAATCTTCAGTGTTTTTATTCTAAAAAAAAATCCTAACTTCTCAGAGAATTGATAGTGGATTTTTCTTAATAACTTTTTCAACTCTTTCAAAAATCAACGAAATTACATCGAAGCCTCTCGATCTTTGCCCAGCATCATTACATTTTTCACAAAGATCGAAAAACTCTTGTTTGGTTCGTATCGAATTCTGGAAGAATTCCAGGTAAAATCGAATGATAAAGGAGCCACAGAGAGCTCAAGGAATTGTTTTCAACCGGAATTTTCATTAAATTCCGATCACAATCATAGACCCGCAATGTACCTTGGTTGGTGGTAACGGGCAACCCGATTTTCATCAGAAATGCATGGAGCCTCCAGCGACGTAGCTAGAAAGTCACCAGAAGTAATGGGGAAAAGTGTGAGTCTGTTTGAATTCGAACGAAATCCCCCAGATAAGGCATTAGATATATAGACTTTATCTGGATTACCGATCCAGTGTATTTTCCATCGATGCGTTTCCCCTTCTCCCTTCAACTCACCCGCCGATATGTTCTTTTACGTTCTTTTTTTTGCCAACGATTGTAACCTTTTTATTTTCATCCGACACTCGTGCTAGGGAATGCACTCTGGGTCGTGCGAATGGTCCACATGTGTGCCACTCTCCCTCGAGATATTTCAATGTCAATGACTCTTTTGAGAGATGAAGAATCACTGAGGTGAATCGATGGATCATAATATTCTCATCGCCAAATACTCTTCCACGGCGTAATTTTGTTTTTTTTTTCGCAAAAAATCTGCTGGACGTTTACATCGGCGTTTATGAGGGTAGAGTGATAAGAGAAAAACAATGAGAGCCGACTAACGAGGGCTTTACTATAGGTGGCTGAAGTTG